GGGCTGATTCTGCGTGTTCTGCATGTCTTGCGACCTCGGTAAGCTGTCTGCAGACCTGCCTGTCTGCAGCTGGCTGATTCTCCATGTTCTGCACGACTCAGGACATTGGTAGGGTGTCCGAAGACCTGCCTGTCTGCAGCAGGCTTATTCGGCATGTTCCGCATGACTCGGGACCTCAGTAGGGTGTCCGCAGACCTGCCTGTCTACAGTGGGCTGATTCTGTGTGTTCCGCAGTGGGCTGATTTGGTGTGTTCTGTGCGACTCAGGACCTCGGTAGGGTGTCCACAGACCTACCTGTCTGCAGCGGCCTGATTCGGCGTGTTCCACATGACTTGGGACCTTGGTAGGGTGTCCACAGACCTGTCTGCTGCAGGCTGATTCGGTGTGTTCTGCGCAACTTGCAACCTCCGTAGGGCATGCGCAGACCTGCCTGTCTGTCTCACCTTTTCATTTCTAATTGCATTGATGTGAGTCTTTTTTCTCTTTGTCTTGGTGAGTTAAGCTAAGGGCTTACCTACTTTATTCTTTCAAAGAACCAGCTCTTCAATTTTATTTATTTTATTTTAGTCTCAATTTCATTGATTTCCACTCTCATCTTTATAATTTCCCTCAACTTTGATTTGGTGTTGGCTTGTTGTTTCTTAAGTATCTTAAGATTTCTCATAAGCTTATTTATTTAGGTTTGCTCTGTTTTCCTAATGTGAGGACTGATTTGCTGTGAATTTTCCTTAGGACTGCTTTCATAGTGTTCCAGACGTTTTGTTGAGTTGTACATTAACTTCCATAAATTTTTAAAATTCTTCTTTGATTTCATCTGTGACCTACTGGATGTTTAGGAATGTTAATTTTCTAGGAGCTTTTACCATTTCCAAAATTTCTTGTTGATTTCTACTTTCACTGTACATTGTTCTGATAGTATGCATGGGATGATTTCAGAACTTTTATATTTACTTAAGCAAATTTTGTGGACTAGTATGTGATCTATTTTGGAAAAGGTACCGTGTACTGCTGAAAATGTATACTCTGGAGCTGGGGATTTAGCTCAGTGTTTCCACTGCCTGCCTCACAAGCACAAGGTTCTGAGTTCGATTCCTGGTACCAAAAAAAACCAAAACAGAATGTATACTCTGTTGTAGCAGGGTGGAATACTCTATGTATCTATTATTCCAAGGGTGTATTTAAGCACATGGTTTAGCTGATATTTATTTTTTGTTTAGTTGATCAGTTGCTTTAAGAAAGTGGGGTTAAGGGCCAGGGATTTGGCTCAGTGGTTCTACCACCTGCCTTGCAAGAGCAAGGTCCTGAGTTTGATCCCAGGTACAAAAAAAAAAAAAAAAGTGGGGTTAAAATCCCGTTATTAGTTTGTTAGTGTTTATTTCATCTTGTCAGTTCAGCAGCTTTTTCCATGAAGGTAGGTCCTCCAATATTCAGTGCATTTAAGTTTATCAGTGTTATCTCTTCTTATTGGAATGTTCCTTTAGTATGTAGTGAGCTTCTTTGCCTCTTACTTTCAACTTGAAGTTTACTATATCTGATATTAGAATTGCTCCTGCTTGCTTTCAAGGTGCTGGGGGCATTAAATGTTTTCCAATGTTTAATTTTTATTTTGTGAATTGACAGAGACCACCCTAAGAAAGCTGCAAATTCAAAAACTGGCTTTTCATATTAAAAGTCTGAGTCTGCCTATTAGTTCACAATGGCCTGCCTGAAAAGCCAGTAGTTGGAGTGTGGGAAAGGAACAATTCCCCACACCACTGGTTACAGAGGAGGTTTCAATGATTCATGATGGTGTGACATCTTAGATGGCAAGAAAATGGTGCAGCTAAGGGCAGCATGACTTATACATGAAACTTCTACAGAGGCAGAAATTAATTTACAGGAAAAAACAAATTTCCCATTAATCAGTGATCCATTCTTGCTATAATGTCTTGTTCTCTTGTTGCTAGGACCCTGCTTGCATCAGTGCTTTCCACTCCACTGTTCCTTACACTGCTCCTTACCCCTTCAAGAAGCTGTATGTTCAATAAATAGTGGCAAGCTTCAGGAGACAGTGTCTTGGCCTGATAAGAGCTTTGACGGTCCTTGGCCCCTCATTTATGCAGTAAAGGTCTTGTCTTTTGGTATCCTGCTGCTGTACCCTTGGTCAGGTGATTGGAGGTCTGATCAGCCTCCAATAATGAAGCTCTTTTTTGATTAGATGAGTTTCTGGAATGCAACAGATTGTTAGATTCTGGGTTTTCTTTTTTTCCTTTTTCAGTCTGCCAATATGTGTCTTTTGATTGAAGATTTGAGACTGTTAATACTGAGAGATATTAGTGAGATGTATAGGTTATTTAGTCTCATTGCCTTCTTTATCTGTGTATCATGTCTTTCTTTTTCTGATGATTTTTGTTGTGCTTTCCTCACTGACCTCACTAGGTTCCTGTTTTAGCTGTGTCCATTTTGTTTTTGTAGAGAATATATTTAAGTATTTTCTCTAGATCTGGTTTAGCACTCATATATCTTCTGAGCTTTTCTACTTGTCAGTGGGCTGATGGACATGAATTACCTACACATTCACTACAAAAATTTGGAAGCAGAAATACAAGTTTTAGAGAAAATTCATAATGTCAGGTTTTAATATATCAGGTGGAGACATAAAGTAAGTTAGATATAAAGGTTCACTGTAAGAAGACAGTATGAGTTAGGTACAAATATTTGCACATGATCAATTTATTGATAACAATTTGTCTTAGGAGCAGATAAACATGTCTATGGTGAGTACTAAATTTAAAAAGCAGGCCTAGGGCCAGGGATTTAGCTCAGTGCTTTTGCTGCCTGCTGCGCAAGTGCAAGGACCCAAGTTCAATCCCCAGTACCAACAAAAAAACTCAAAATGAAAACAAAAAAAAGCAGGCCTAGAACAAATTGGTGAGAAATCCCAAAGTTTAGAGTGCAAGTGTAAGAAGAAAAGCAGCAAACGTGATTGAGGAGTAGCTGAGAGGGAGGAAGTATTATGGTGTCAGAAAAACCCAAAATAATACTCAAAGGTGATTCAGGAAGGGTTGCTTGAATAGGCTAAAAGCTATTCAGAAAACAAAGATGAAGATATAAAGTGGCTGGTTTGAAAATAGTGCCCTTAACAGACTTATCTAGGGAGCAGTAGAGATGGAACCAGACTTGAATAGTTTAACAGATAAATGAAAGAGGAAACTTGGCTATGAATGAAATGGAGAAATATGGGACTTGTTGACATAAATGAAAGGTCAATGGAGGGCATGACTTAGTATATTAGGAATTTTTTTTCCCTAGTACTGGAGCTTGAGCCCAGAGCCTTGACAGTGAGCTATATCCCAGCCCTATTTATTTTTAAGACAGGGTTTTACTAAATTGCCCAAGGTGGGCTCAAACTTGTGATCTTCCTGCCTCAGCCTCTTAGAATACTATGATTACAGGCAGCTATGGATTGGTATTACTGGAATAATAAACATCTTTAAACAATTTAAAGTTTACTTGGGGGGATTCAAATAAATCTACCAATCAATAGAGTCTCATACAATCATAAAAACTGATCACTCAAAAAATTTTTAATGACATGGGAATATTTTCCTAGATAAGTAAAAAGATTTAAAATTATCCGGCTAGTAATTAAGTAAATCATAAGCCTGAGATCTGAGCTGAGTCAATATAAAACACTACTTTAAAAAGTATACTATATTGCCTGCCCCCCAAAAGATTAACTCACAAGTCTCATGAATTCATTAACTAAAACTTAGTCCAAAAATTAATTCTTTAACATTGTTGAAGTGAACTGGTACACATACCGAAGGAACTCGAAGTGATACATTTTAAATAATTTCAATCATTTATGAAAAATGTGCATACTGTATAATCAATCTACCAGACTCCAACAGATTTAGCTGGATATTAAGGAGTACAGAAAATTCAATTTCAACTGATGTAGATTCATTATCACCCACCCCCCCCAAGTACATTTAAAGTATGCCTGAACACTAAGAGAATGAAAATAAAATCCTGGTCAATTATCAAAACTTTTCTTCATCTCCTAACTTTTGTTCGTATATCTTAAAATACTGGTAACTGGTACTCCTGAGAAAAGCTGCTTCTCACCAATAAATTCAGCTGAAAAGAAAGGCCTAATGCCTGGTGAGATGGCATACGTCTGTAATCTCAACACTTGGGAGGCTGAGACAGGAGGATTGCTGCAAGTTCAAGGCCAGCCTAGGCTACATAGTGAGTTCCAGGCCAGCATGAAGTACATAGCAAGACCCTGTCTCAAAAATAATGATAATAATAAAATAAAAAATAAAACAAAATAAAGCAAAAAATTGCCTAAAGCATCAGTTTTATGAAATGCCCTCTGGAGTCATAAGCAGAGTGCCCTAAACTTGTTTTACCTGTAAATACTCACATGAGGATTGATAAGCACTGTTCCTTTCACATACATCAAAAGGATTAGAAAAAAGGGTGAGATTTTTCAAAAATTTTTAATATTTTTTGAATTGCAGTATAACAATTGAAAATACAAAAATTGACTATTTCAAATAAATATATGTATAAATTATACTAACCTCTGAAAGAATCCATTATCATTAGTTAAAATACTGATATATTAGTTATGTAAAAATTACATAGATGTTGACTTTTTTGGTGGGGGGTACCGGGGATCGAACTTGAGTTCTTCTACTTGCAAGGCAGGCGGCGGAACCACTGAGCTAAATCCCCTGCCCAGATGTTGACTTTTGTAAGAAAAGTAATCTACCAAATATTTTAGAAAGCATTGAAAAGTTGCTAACAAATGTTTTATTGTATCTATCAAAACTTACCATGATCCATAGGGCACAAATATTGGCCAACTAATTCCAACTTTGATGTTAGGCATGAAGTTGACTTTGATTTTCAGTTAAGAGAACCAATTTTATGGAAGTTAGCTTTTGCTCAGCCATCCTTGTGATAGGAAAAAGCCCAGGGAAGCTTTATGAATTACAATTTCTTTCCTAGTAACACCTCTTCTGATGCTATCACAGTCACAATGGGCTCTAACACTGGCATACGGGGAGAGGTTCTGAAGAATAAATTGGATATCCCAGGGGAGGTTCAGCAGCTTGCACTGTAAGGTTTCTTAAAAGTAGCGGATGAGCTTGGATACTGTACCGTTCCTCATCATCATTTGTGGCATAAAGCAATTCCCACGAGAGATTGGCCCACTGACCTCTAACAGCTTCAGTATTTAACTTCCCAACTTGGATCAGTTCTTCCTGAAGGGTGAGCACTCTCCCAGTGTAAACTCCCTTTAAAATATAAAAGGAAGAAGGCAAGAGATAACATTCAGGCCTTTAACTTTTATTTATAAACTTAGAGAAAAATCTCATCACACCTGGACAAATTTTCTCCCAAGTTCAAGAAGACATGAAGTGGTGTTTTAAAATGTTCACATAAGCTCAGCTTGTTTTTGAAAGCAGGCATCATCTCTATTTTCTTAGCATTTTGAATAAGTGTAAGAAAAATTTCCTGGCACCTATTTCACTTAATCACCAGAACAACAAAATCTCAACTACTTCTCTTCCTTTTCCCTCTTTGATCCCTCAATCCATCTGGCCTCAGCAGTGTTTGTCGTAACTACCAGGCAGTGGACAGTCATGTAATGGACTCCTTTTTAGAAACAGCTTGAGATTCAGTTAACATTCTACACAATTTACTCATTCAATGTATAAAATTCAACTGTTTTTAGTATATTCGCTGGTAAGTGCCACAATTGCAACACTTCATTTTAGAACATTTTCATGACTTGAAAAAGAAACTGTCCTTTTTCACTGACACCTTCCTGTCTTTTCATTCTCCCTGCCCTATATAATCAAAGTGAAATTTCTATCTGTATAGATTTGCCTAGTTTGGAAATTTCACATGAATTATGCAACATGTGCTGTTGTGACTGTCCTCACACAACATATTTTCAAGGTTCATGTATGGTGTAGCATGTATCAGCACTTTATCACTTTTCATAGCTGAATATTTCATTGTATGGATATACTATGATTTGTTTATCCACTTATCAGCTGAAGCAGTCACATTGTTTTTACCTTTTAGCAATTATAAGCGCTGCTGCTACCAACGTCTGTATGTTATGTTGATCTTTTTCTTTCAGTTATACAGAAGTAGAACTGCTATGTCATACAGTAATTCCATACTTAGCTATTAGAAAAACTGCCCCCCAAAAAGAGAAAAACTGCCAGACGTCTTCCAAAGTGTCTGTAGTACTTTACATTTCCAACAGCAGTGTGTTTCAATTTCTCTACAACCTTGTCACAACTTGTTATGACCTGAGTATTTGATTTTAGCTATCCTAGCGTCTGTGAAGTGATATACTGTAGTTTTGATTTGTATTTCCCCATCACTTGTGATGCAGAACTTTTTAATGTGTTTACCAGTCATAGCATATCTTTAGGGAAATGTCTACACAGATCTTTTACCTATTTTTAAATTGCATTTCTTTTTTACTATGGAAGATGACTTCTTTACATATTCTAGTAATAAGCCCTTTATAAGATTCAGATATGTAGTTATTTTTCTTATTCAGTGTTCTTTTCACTTTTTCAGTGTTCTCTGAAGCACAAGTTTTTACTTTTGATGATGTCTTTTTTTTCATGCTTTGAAGTCATATCTAAGAATCTATTGTTCAGTACAAGGTTATGAAGATTAATTTCTATGTTACCTTCTAAGATTTTTCTTTCAGTTCTAACCTAAATGTTTTGATAGCCAGGCACGGTGGCAATTGGGAAGGTGGGGCAGGAGGACTGCCATGAGTTCAAGGCCTGCCTGGGCTATATAATGAATTAAAGGCCAGCCTGAACAACAAAAAAAGAGCTGTGATGCATTTTAAAGTTGATTTTTTTAAAATGGTGTAAAGTAAGGTCTGGAGTGGAGTAAATAGCATCTTCAAAAAAGTCTTAATAAATGGTATATGTGAATGTGACCTTATTTGGAATGGGTACTTTCCAGATATGATTTAAGGATCTCAAGATGAGACCATCCTGGATTTATTGCAGCCCTGAATCCAAAGTCAGGTGTCCTAATAGAAGAATAGAATAGGAGAACTGGCACAAGATATAGGGAAGAAGGCCATATGAAGATGGAAAGGCCATATGAAGATGGAGAGTTATGCTGCCACATGCCAAGGAATGCTAGAAGGCATCAGAATAAAAGTGCAAGGAAAGATACTGGAGTTATTTAACACATTACCATTTAATGTAATTAATGATGCAGCTGGATTCTGTCATTGCCCTTTTTGTCTCCTGTGTCACACGGTTTGTGTATGTGTGTCTTCATTCCTCCCTACTTTCTTTTATATTAAGTAAATACTTTTAACATGGGACTTTAATGTCTTTATGGATTTTCCCAGTTATTTCCTGTTGTTGCCACCTGTCTTATTGGCTTTCAATTTATACCAAGTTCCAGTGAAACTCAGAAATGCTACTCTGACATAGTTCTATTACCTTTCCTCTTTTTTTGTGATATTGCTATTATGCTACATCTACAAATTTAAAAATACAGTAATATCTTCTTATAATTATTGTTACATAACTGAATATCTTTTAAAGAACCTGAGAGAAAAGGAAACAAATGCCTATTGTTTTTGCTATTTATAATTTCTGATTCCCTTCTTTTATTTCTGTAGATTTAATACAGTTAGAAATAATGGAGCTAAGAAACACATTAACTTCCACCCACTTAATTTCAAACAGCAACCTAGGGTTATGCCTCCTTCCACTGTCCTAAGAGAGGTAGAGAATCACAGAACAACACGGATAGTGATCTCTGATGCCCCAGGAAAGAGCACAGGCATGTTGAATCTCCTAGCTCAGTGATGGTGAACCTTTTAGACTGAGTGCCCAAACTACAACCCAAAACTGACTTATTGAAAAGTGCCAATACTGCAATTAAACCTGAATATCTGATGCTCAGCTGTTGGGGCAATGCTGGGGTGACTTGGTTTGCATGCCCACAGAGATCTGTGTGCCCACTGCAGCACACATGCCATAGGTTTGCCACCACTATCCTAGCCTGATCTTCAGTTATATTCACCTTACTTTAATCTTGTTAAGGGTTCATGAATATGTACTACATATCTTGCACGTGAGTAAGATCAGAGTGAGTTCTGGGACAAGAATGTGTATTAAGAGCCCCCGAGATGACATAACACCCTGTCAATGCAGTGGTTTTGTTTTCTTGTCAACCCAGCACTTTTCTGTGCCATACCTTTTGTTGGCACAGACTTCCCCTGAGCACAGCTTCATGTGATCTTCAGTAACTGTAGTTGTTTTCCACTTGCTATCTAGTGTGGACTTGTAATTTATTGCTCATCATACACAAGAGCCTGGATTATACCTAAATTTTTTATGCAGTAACATTTTAGTGAGTCAGGCAGAAGAAACTGGACAAGACAACAATCTGGTCAAAAGCAACCCAGCCAAGAAGGAAGGTAAGTCCATGGGGGGGGGGGGACGACCTTCTTTCTCTCATCTCCTTTTAACAAGCGACCAAGGGTGCTTGTTGGGGATATGGGACAGATTCCATTTAGAGATGACCAGACTATGGAACAAAAGCCCACCTCTGCAGTGGGTGGAGGACCCCTGTGGATCAGATGGAGTTGTATTTTCCTGGTCCATGCAACACAGTAACTCCATCTTAGCACCTGTAATTCCACATGCCTCTAAAAGGATTGTACTTGGCCAGAGCCAGATGGAAGCAGTCTTCAGGTGAGTGTTTTGGCTTGGCATAGCTGAGCACAGTGGGTGATCAGGAAACATGGACCTGGCCCACCTGAAACCACTGCTTTTCTCTGTGCAGTGCAGTTGGCAGCATGCCCTGCACCATGTAGACTTGAGCATTTTGTTTAGCACCAAGGGTGTTTGAAGGCAAGCAACAAGTCATGAGCTCACATTCCCCTTTATGACTTGCTTTCCTTCCCTCTCCCTTTTGGAGGAACTTTGACTCCTTTCTTGTCTCTGGTCAGACAATTCAAATTACTCAGCTTTTTGGTGCCGAGCAACTCAGGGAAACAGAACTGGAAAATACAGTGCTTTCTCATGCTGAGACATTAAAATCTGTCCACTTCAAAGTTCAGCCTGCTCACAGAGCCAGCTGCAGGGACTCTTCTGGGTCCTAATACCCATGTCTGTCTGTCCCTCCTGGGTCACTTTTCTAATGCTAGATTTGTTCATTCTGCTTGGCTTTGCTTTGTTGTGATAACTGTGGCCTCAAGTTTATGATCCTATCTAAAAGGGTGTGTTACTGTTTGCTGACTGAATTTACATCAAGCCTGACTCTTTTCTTGAGGTTTTTATCACTGGACATTTATGCTTCATGACTTGATCTAGTTAGTTATGTGCAGGGTTTTTTTTCCTGAAAAAATGCTTCATTCTGTTTTCTTAGACTGCCAGATTAGTGGGATACCATCCGTGGAAATGCCTGTTTCTCAGTCAAAGGTGCTGAGAGCCCCATCTGTGGGGAAATTAAGGGTTTGGGGAATGTGCTTGCTACCTCTCCTTAGATGGGATATTAGGTGGTTTAAAAATTGGCTAAGAGGCATTTGGCTAATAAGGCATCTCAGTTCAGGATTCTTTGTCTAGACTTTTTGTAGACATAGGGGAAATTCTAACATTCAAAAAGGAAAGTGGCATGCCTCATGAGGTTCATCTTCCAGACCTACCTGCCCACTTACAATGATTGCTACCAGTTGCTTCTCATCCTCTTCAACAAGTTCAGAATTTTCATGGAAGCCAGAAGGTGGCTACAAGGACAAGCTCTCAAGGGAATCCTAGACCCTGAGGCCTGGATAAGAGGAGCTCCTGACACTAAGCCAGATTGGGACTTCAATTCAGAAGAGAGAAGGTCTCCCTCTCTCCCACAATACCAAGAGGTGATCCTCAGAAGCATAAGATAAAGAGCTAAAAAAGCTGACCAACATGTAAAAAACTGTCTCTATGACTCAAAAGCCAGATTAGTCACCTGGAGATTTCTATGAGCGGGTCTGTGATGCATTCCACATCTTCAACCTGTTCCATTCTGAGGTTCTCAGAAACCAGTGACTGGGACTGGGGATTTAGCTCAGTGGCACCATGCCTGCCTCACAAGCGCAAGGATTTGCAGGCATGAATGTCGCCCAACTCCTGGAAATTGCCACCAAAGTCTCTGCCAACCAAGATTGAGAGGCCCAATGAGAGGCTGATAAGCACATGAAACAAAAGGTTTCACTCCTTGTGGTGGCACTGTGGAAATAGACCCTACCCAG